ATTTCCGCTAATACATACTTTTCTAGCTGCTCTAAATTTTCAAAAAAGTGCTCTCTTGACGTACTTACCTCCTGACCATTTCTTAAGAAGGCTAAAGTATTGTCCACAATATTTGATACAGTGTCTTTATATCCATAACAAAGGCCAGACCTCAAAACTGCTTTGGACGCAACATCCTCACCATACCCGCATGCAGCAATCTTTTTAATCGCGCTCTTGTAAATTGTATCCAAATTTTTAATAACAATTTCTTCAAGATGGCTTTCAGTAATATCACTCCAATCAGCATCTTTAAATTCTGTCGGTTCTGGCACTTCTTTAGATTGACTAGACCCAACGTCAGATGACCCAGTACCACACGACAGTCTAAGGTCAGGTTTGATAATGTCGAGTTGCTCTTGGTTGTGGCTACACAACTCACAAAGACCATGTTGTTCATGACTCATGTTGCTTTGAGATTTCTCAGCAGAGAACTCAAAACTCGAGCAATCAGTCTGGGATGCAGAGGTGAGCTTGTTTGGATCACCTAAAGGAGGATCAGAACGGAATTTTCTCTTATTTCGACTTCCTTTTTCTTGCACCAATAAAGGAGAAGACACTGGACTACTACTACTACCTGAAGCCACCATTGCTGCCATTCTGCAATACACAATGAGTCAATAACAAATTCTTAAATTTTCTCCAAACATTTCCATATATACATTACTACAATGATCAGATTAAAAACCGATGTATCAAAGTAATTTGCTAACCAAAAAGAATAGACATATTCATTAACAAACATATCTAAATGGGACTAATTGTCACTGATGGTAAAAAAGCAATATGATCCAATCCATAATTGACCATCACATACAACAAAAACAGAGAGGAATGCTTAAAAATCACACCTTTGACAACAAAACAATTGAAATTTGATTGCTTCATACATTCAAAACACTCATATTGATCAAAATAAAGATACCCGAAATCAAAGATTAAAAAAAAAAGTTGATGAAATGGCCTCCAAGATGTCAAAACCAGCTGAATTTGTTCATACAAAACAATAACAACCAAAATGAATCTAAAATCAACAAACCCAAATTGAAAAAAAACCATGATTTCATCAAAATAATGAAGAATCCAATAAAAAAGATTCAAATTTGATCAAAATCTATTGAATAAATAGATCCAAATCAATTAGATATGTTCATTAGTATTGATCTGATCGATGTGTACCTGATGTTTTAAGTGTTGTTTAATTTGATCGAAAGGAACTAATAATCTAATATCTTCAGCAAAATTCTGCTGCAAAAAGCGAACAAATTGTCAGCTCAAGCTTTCCATGAATGAAGTTTCACCTTCTCTTTGTCTGTCTG